GTATTGTAAAACATTTCAATATCGTATCAAATCATTATATTAAAAGTTTTAAATTTAATAATGAAAGAGAACTGTATATTATATTACGATAAAAATCAACTAACAAAAATATATAATATCGATGTGATTAAAACATCAATTTTGTTTTTCTTTTTTTTCGTTGACGAATTATATTAAAATAAATGCTCTTGTAAATAAATTGTCTTATATCATAATTCATAAAAAGCTTTTTCAAACATATAATATGTTCACATATTAACTCAATAATAAAAAAACATAAACAAATGTAAAAGGGACACATAGAGGAGGGAGCCAAATCTTTGACTCTTGTAAGATTAATACATTTCATAAGTCTCTTGTTTATCTAAATTCAACCCCCAAATTAATCAATCAACGAAGCTTAGACACGGAATATCCGGAGGTCGCCTTTCGAGGACACTCCTCCACGTTAGTACATAAAATTATCTTCTTTTGTGTTGCGTTTTTGGGTCCTAAAAAGATCAATTATTGAAAGCCTAAAGTTGTTTGATGGATTCAATAATCTAAGAGGTTGAGGCTTTTGGGCTCTCTTTTTTTAATCCGGGTATTGGTCGTTTTTGTCTTACCGTTGATGGGTAAGTCTGACGTCTGAAGTTTCCTTTCCTTCCCCTTTTTTTTTTTTTTTTTTTTTTTTAATCTTTAACTGTGAGTTGTAAGTTTTACTCTGCTTTGATGCTTTTCTTGTTGAAAATTCTCATCTGGGTATTGCTGCTTTTGGATATTTGTTGGGTTTTTATGTTTATGAGGTTAACTCTCATCTGGGTATGGCTTGTTTTTGGTTTTTTTCTCTTCGTTTTGTTGAGTTTGTGGTGTGTTTTAGTTAGGTGAAGGCACTGTTTTCATTGAGTTGTGCTAAGAGTTTCAATTCATGATGTGCAAAATTGTTTTTTGGAAGTGTTTTTTGTGGGAATTTTAATAGATGATTGAATGCTAGATAATCTAATCTCAGGATACTTTTAGAGCGATTTTATTTGTTAAATTTCATTCTTTCACTCTTTGAGTTTTGAAATGAACATCTGGTGTTTTGATGTTTAATACTATTTACGTCAAATCGTTGTTAATGGTTGAAATCAAAGATCTGTAGTTAAAGAGTAATAAATTTCTATACCTATCCCTTGGTTCTTTTAAAAATTCAACTGTTTGACTTGCAGCTATGGTGATTGGATATTTTATCCTATAGTAATTAACGGAGGAGGCATTTTGAAGAGTGAATATGCTTTTATCTATCTATGCTTGCTTCTTTTAGGAATTGAATTTTGTCTGACTTGCAGCTATGGTGATTGTATGTATCTCATCTGGTAATAAATGGGGGAGGCATTGTGAATAGTGACAATACTTGTATATGGGACCATATACAAGCTTTCTCACTGTTTGTGGACCGTGCAAAAGCACCATAACCCTTCATAGCATGTCATTCATTTATCTGCTATTTCAAATTTTGTCCAACTCTTTAATGATCTCTTCACATATCTCCTCAGAAGGGATTTCTTTGTGGTTTTGTTTTGCTTTCTTGTTCTGTAAACCTTTCTGCCTTTCTCAACAGATCAAGAAAGTAACTAAATCAGATTTTTTTATAGTTTCAAGCTTTTCAAAATAATTGGTTTCTATGTTTACTATAATGTCTATCACAGGGAAAACGATATATGAATTTTAGAGAGTGATACAAGTGAGGTGAAGATTATAATATTGACGTTGGTTCGGAGACGAAGAGAAGGATACTAGCATTGGTGTCAAAGGATAACGTATGGCTCCTGGAGGAGGATACTGCAAGGAAGTGATTGAATCTCACATTGCATATGCAGATTATGATATGGCAACTTCCAGTGTGGAGTTGAGGGGCTCCCCTTGTAGAAAAGCTACTACTAGTTTTGGTGGAAATCCTGGAATGACGTCAAACAATGATGTGCATGAGCTACTTGAGTGTCCTGTTTGCATGAATTTAATGTACCCTCCAATTTACCAGGTATGCTCTTTTGCATATCAAAATTCTAGATGAAGAAAATATATTTGACTATTATGTTTGAGCATCTTTGACATCCTTTTTTGTCAAATAGATAATAATCAGAGTCCCATTGGTGAATCTTAGCAATTTTTACTTATCTCACAGAGAAGTGAATGTCATATGAAGTGAAACTATTTAAATTTGTTAATTAGTCAAGAAATTGTTTTCTGTAATTTTACAAAAGGCTGTACCAACTCATTCATATTGTAGAAATTTCTTGAGTTGGAGACGAGATTTTCTTGAAATTTATCTGGAAATGTTTGGTCTTAGTATACCACGATTAAATAGCTGCAAACAATATCGTTGCTACCACAATTTGAAGCACTTTCCAAAAGGATTATACTCCTTTTTCCTGGTCTTGTTTCAGTGAACACAGAAGTTCCATTTTCTGACTTTCTCCATTTTCAGATGTAGGAATCATACTCATAGACACAGTGATTATAAGACAATTTCTAGTTTAATCTTCGTTTGTTGACCAAGTACTCTCATTTTGCTGTATAGTGTCCAAACGGCCACACTGTATGCTCAAATTGCAAGGTTAGAGTACGCAACTCTTGCCCAACTTGCCGCCATGAACTTGGAAATATAAGGTGCTTGGCTCTGGAGAAAGTAGCTGAGTCACTGGAACTCCCTTGCAGATACCAAATTTTTGGTTGTCAGGATATATTCCCATATTACAGCAAGCTAAAGCATGAAAAGAACTGTAAATATCGTCCATACAATTGCCCCTATGCTGGAGCTGAATGCTATGTCACCGGTGATATCCCGTTGCTTGTCAGGCATCTCAAGAATGATCACAAAGTTGACATGCATGATGGGAGTACTTTCAACCATAGATATGTCAAAGCCAATGCCCAAGAAGTTGAAAACGCTACATGGATGTTAACTGTAAGATTCCACTTTCTCTCTTTTCACCACATAAATCACTGTGGTCTTTTCTTATTGAAATTGAATTTATACACAAATTAATATACTGAGCATTAATAATCTAGTTATCACATTATTATTCATTTTAACAAATTTCTCTTGGAATAGCTATTCTATCATATTTTTAGAATCAGTTAATTATTCGTTTTGTAATATTCTATATTCTTGGAATCAAACAATTCTTGAACTTTTAGACTCATTTGAGAGTTTTTGCAAATTTAAGTCATAAATGGCAGATTGACATCTTTCCCCAGATTTTGCTGTACTATCATGTTCTGTGGGTTTTCCTTGTGCATATTAAATGCGGATTGCTTATTTCATGCAAATTCTCCATATAGAAAATCTTTTAAGTATCAATTGAAAAATTCACTTAATCTTTCCAATTACACGTATGACTTTGTGGTGGTTCACCTAATGGGGGATCATTCTATAATTGGATGGTTTAGTCTACTCCAACTTAAACGTGTATTTAATTTGCAATGCAAACTTATATGATCCTCCATCATTAATTCTTTTGGTTGCTGAGAACATTGACAAATTATAAATAATTGGATATGGAACCACAAGACCGGTTGTTTTAGAACGGAAGTCTCAATTATACTGCCATGTTTTGCATTTCCCCCATCCTTTCTCCTTTTACCCAATGCTTGCTGCATAGCAGAGCAGACGGTGGTGTGATGGAGAGTTCTCTCAATTTCCATTCATTTGTCAGCTCCGGTCTTCTTAAAACAGCTTTATTCTTCAATCTTGTGCAGGTTTTCAATTGTTTTGGCCGACAGTTTTGCCTGCACTTTGAGGCTTTTCACCTAGGAAATGCGCCTGTTTACATGGCCTTCTTGCGATTCATGGGTGACGAAGAAGAGGCAAGGCAGTTTAGTTACACTCTGGAAGTTGGTGGAAATGGCAGAAAACTGACGTGGCAAGGGATTCCCAGAAGCATCCGTGATAGCCATAAGAAGGTTCGAGATAGTCAAGATGGCCTAATCATTCAGAGGAACTTGGCCCTGTTCTTTTCTGGCGGCAACAGGCAGGAGCTGAAGCTGAAAGTAGCCGGCCGTATATGGAAAGAACAGTGAGATATAAAACTAACCATGGCATAGATAAATGTAGCGAAAATTTGCATCAGATATCCAGTGTACTTCTGTGTAAATCTGTAGATATATATATTGATTGCCAATTTATTACTTGTTGCTTGATTGACCTATTTGCTGAGAGTATCTCAACTCAACCTTTTGCATTGGAAAATCCCATCTCCGGGAGGACATTGAAGTGAAGCCTTCCTCAGGCTAGTGACTGTGTTCCCTGTTAAAATAAAGCACTGGCAGGTAATTACTGGAACTCAAAACAGTTATGCAAGCAACAAAGCATGATTAAAAGATCAAATAAATCCATTCTAGTCTTAGCTGCAGAATTTGTGATCATTCAAATGCAGAGTTTTGATCTGATCCTCATTGATTCAATTTTCATTGGTGACCAGTCCCGGATCATTCTTCTGCAGATTCTCTGCACTTTGATATTGAAAACTGCAAATATTGTTGCTATAGCTCCAAGGAACCTAACCTAATTAACCATAACTTTCGGATTAAGTACAGTAATAACTTAAATCGTTAATCATTTACACAACACTATTACATAAGACGACGCGTTGAAAAATCTTGAAATATGACTTTTAAGTTGTGAAGCTTTTTTTTTTTTTTTTTTTTTAATAGAGTATTTGAGTTAGTTTACGTACATCTCAACTAATCATTCGAGATCTTAAAATTATTGATTGAATAAAAATTCCAATAATCACTCCTATTAATAGTCGTGGAGACTCAAATTCGAGAGACCATATTAGATCCTCACGTAAAACATTATTTGTATATTAGTATTTGCTGTAAGAGTTTGTCAGATTGCAATGAAATTATGTTTAATCAAACTATACTTAATAAAGAAGATATTCCATTTTATTATCATATTATATTTATTTTTTACTTAATACGGCACCGTTTGATATCTGGTAAAGCCGTAAAGGCTCTAAAACCCTAAACCCTGCATTACTCGTAAAAACAAAAATGCTGATAAGAGCAAGAACTCTCTCTCCATCAAAGCTTAAACCTTTCTTCTCTCAATCCCTAACCCAGAAAATCCCTAGAAAATCCCATCTCCAAAACTCCTTAAAGCCCTCAACTTTTCAATTTTTTTCACTTTCACCCTTCTCCTTCACCTCCTCCTTCTCTTCTTCTCAACAACTGCCTCCTTCTCCTCCTCCTAAACATTTGCTACTGAGCAGAGATGGAAATTACGAAGAAGCCACTCCGGTACATGCCGTCTGTCCCGGCTGTGGGGTTCACATGCAAGACCAGAACCCCAAACAGCCCGGCTACTTCATCAAACCCACCGCCACAGCAACACAACAAACTCTTCATAAAATAAAAACTTCCCATCTTGTCCCCGTTTCGACAGAACCCGAGTTTTTGGATTCTGTCAAACGGGGCAATATCGTAATTTACACTGATCCCGAAACGCCTAACCCTAAAATGCCCGAGAAGCCTGTGGTTTGCGCCAGGTGTCACGGGTTGAGGCATTATGGGAGGGTCAAAGATCCGACGGTGGAGAATCTTCTGCCGGATTTTGATTTTTATCATACGGTTGGGAGGAAGTTGATGACGGCGACGAGGACGAGGTCGGTTGTGTTAATGGTGGTGGATGCATCAGATTTTGATGGGTCGTTTCCCCGGAGAGTTGCTAAGATTGTTTCCGAAACCGTGGAGGAGAATTTGACGGCGTGGATGGAGGGTAAATCAGGTAATTTACCTCGAGTAGTTTTGGTAGTTACAAAGATTGATTTGTTGCCGAGTTGTTTGTCTCCAACTAGGTTTGAGCATTGGGTGAGGCAGAGAGCTAGAGAGGGTGGAATTGATAGGATTAGTAAGTTGCATTTCGTGAGCGCGGTTAAGAATTGGGGGCTAAAGAGTTTGATTGAAGATGTGACTTTATTGGCGGGAAAACGAGGGAATGTGTGGGCCATAGGGGCGCAAAATGCAGGGAAGAGTACATTGTTGAATGCAATTGCCAAGTGTGTTGATAGTGGTGGAGAAAGAGGGAAGGTTGTTAGTCATTTGACCGAGGCGCCTGTGCCTGGGACAACTCTTGGGATTGTGAGAGTGGAAGGAGTTTTACCGGCTCAGGCGAAGCTGTTTGATACTCCGGGTTTGTTGCATCCTCATCAGATTACAACAAGGTTGACTAGAGAAGAGCAAAAGCTTGTCCATGTTAGCAAGGAGTTGAAGCCGAGAACGTATAGGATTAAGGTTAGTGTAAGCTTCACTATGTGTTGACAATGTGTGTTATTTAGTTACTTAAGCAATTGATTAAACATGAAAAATAATTGTGCTTTTTATCCGTAAGAAAAGTTGAATGAATATGAAGAACGGGTTAAGTGCATCATGTATATATTATTGGACTGGAACGGTGTTGTTTCTGTTCAACTCAGGTAATGTTAGCATCATTTGATGGTGGTTGCAGGCAGGTCACTCGGTTCACATTGCGGGGCTCATGAGGCTAGATGTTGAAGAATTATCGGTGGAATCTATTTATGTCACTGTATGGGCGTCACCTTACCTTCCATTGCACATGGGGAAAACAGAAAATGCTACCCGAATTCTAGAGGAGCATTTTTGCCGTCAATTACAGGTAACATTTGCCACAGTTAATGAATAATAATTTTGCATTTTGTTTTGCAGAATTTCTTTTTCCAGTTCAATGGATTTTAGTTTTCATTTATTTTACAGAACCCTATAACTGGCAGAACTATAATGAGTGTGCGACCATATGCCTTATTCCTTAGCTCGTAAGAAGTCCCCGAGATATTGCTCGAGTTCATCAATGAAATTTGGTTGAAATAATCCAATAATGGAGAGTTTGGCTTTGCACAAATACATGCCTTATTTAAGCTGAGCTCAAAGCCTCAAACAGTTGACATCCCCAGGGGCTGAACTATGGTAATGGGGCAAAATTGAATGCTCCACATGATGCTAAGTAGAATAAAATCTAGGGTTAAGAAACTAATATTTACCAGGAAGAGAGAGAGGCAGAAACAACAAGAACAAGGAGGTCTAATACCTATAATAATTTGGACATAAAAACGTTTGCTGGTAATTCCTATTCCTGTTGTAACTTTTATATAACCTTAAAATATGGTTTGTGCAACTCAGGCTCCTTTTTGATGTCAAAGGGGAGCATCTAAATAAAATTGCAAACCCCGGTTATAGGTAACTGCCAGAGTGTAAAGATTTTAAGAACTTCAAAGACTAGTAAATAGTTCTGCCCTGGGGTGTCTCAAACTATTCTTTGCATACATATTGTCCACTAACTACTCAAATGAAATATACTTTTCTTAATGTTCTTAAGGAAGAAGCATGCTGCATTTTGGTTTCTATTTATACAAGTTTGACACTATCTGTGTCGTTTCTTGATTTAGCCACCAATTGGAGAGAAACGGGTTGAAGAGCTTGGAAAGTGGGTGAGGAAGGAATTTCGTGTCTCTGGTAAAAGTTGGGATTCAAGTTCTGTAGATATTGCTGCTGCTGGACTTGGTTGGTTTGCAATTGGACTTAAAGGAGAAGCAGTCTTAGGTGTTTGGACCTACGAAGGAGTTGAAATTTTCCTTCGCAATTCTTTGATATCTGATAGATCTCAGGTTTTCGAAGTTGCAGGATTTACGGTCTCAAAAATTGTCTCCAAAGCTGACCAAGCACTAAATAAACCAAAGAGACAAAGTGAAACTAAGAGGAAACGGGGAAACCCAGAAGGAGAAATACCTACTGAATCATCATTATTAACTGTTGATTCAGGATCAAGTTCTTGATAAGAACAGCTGCTCTGGAAGTTGAAAGATCTGACGGTACAGATAAAGATAACAACACTCTTAAGCCACAAATGGATCTATCAGTGCTTTTTCAACTTGGACCAGATAACAATTTAATTTTGGAACTTTTCTTTCTCGATCAGTAATATCAGGAAGATTCAATTTCTAAATGGTCCCAGAGCTACAAGGAACCTCAAAATGCAGTACATTTTGTGTGAGACATGGATTTGTCGGTAAAACTAATCGGTATGTAGCTCCCTCTGCTTCTTGTTTTTTAGATAATTTTATGTATGCATCAGTCCAATGTGAAGTTTCCTCTGTCGTCCTCTGTCAGCTGTATGCATCAGTGCAAAAGGTAGACCAAAGTTTCACAGTTTTTTACCAACATTCATTTTGAGTTGCATAAATAATTTTATTGGTTTGGTTTCTCTCAACAATGTAATAACCTTTCATTAATACAGTTTCCTGTTGAATGATGGACTGTATTTGTAATTTAATAATCTCTTCTCTTCTTTGTACAACATGAGGTTATGATACCTCATGCTCTTATTTATATTGGTACCTATCTTTCAACTAGTTTACTTTATTAATAGTATTCAGTAAAGTGGATTATTTCATTTCTTTTTTCCAGTGAGATTGCTAAGTACGCGAAGTATTAACTCATCCTCTTCTTTTAAAAAGTATTAATAACTCTTTTGTAATTATCAAAAACCTCCAAAAGAATATCAAACACTTNTTTCAACAATGTAATAACCTTCTATTAATACAGTTTCCTGTTGAATGATGGACTGTATTTGTAATTAAATAATCTCTTCTCTTCTTTGTACAACATGAGGTTATGATACCTCGTGCTCTTATTTATATTGGTACCTATCTTTCAACTAGTTTACTTTATTAATAGTATTCAGTAAAGTGGATTATTTCATTTCTTTTTTCCAGTGAGATTGCTAAGTACGCGAAGTATTAACTCATCCTCTTCTTTTAAAAAGTATTAATAACTCTTTTGTAATTATCAAAAACCTCCAAAAGAATATCAAACACTTTACAAAATTATGAAAAAACTAAGGGTGAGCATGGGTAAAGGGTCGAACCGAAACTGGCTCCATTAGGGTGCGGTTTTGGTTCTAGAAAATTGGAATCATGAATTCACGAGTCTAGTTCGGTTCTTGCAGTGTTGGAACTAGAACCAAAACCGATGTCTGAGTACTCGGGTAGGCATTAAGACTGAATTGTAATTTTTGTAAACTATTGGGGATGTATTGTAATTTTGTGGGAGTGTGTCTTTTTTTTTTAAAGTTGGGAGTAATTAAATTAACCTAGGTATCGGGAACCAAAACTTATGTATCAGGTTCTGGTTTCAAATCTTAGGAACCGACCGATTCTAGTTTCGGTTTCTATTTCATTTCCTTAAAACAATGCAGGGTTTTTGAAATTGATCACCCTTAGAAAAAAAAAAAAAACCCTTAATAACGGGAATTTGATACTTTTTGGAAGGGAATCTTGATAAAGAGCATTTGATACTTTTGGAAGGGAATGAGTTTAATGGTAAACGATCTCTAAGTGAAAATGAAATAAATCTTTTATAAAATAACATTTAATTTAATCCAATGGTCGAAACAGATAATGTGATTGGTATTCAAAACTTCCTATCATTGAAAAAGAGTTGTTGAGTTGGTAATAAAATTAACAGTAATGCTAGGTCTACAGTAGAGATGATAATGGGCCTGATATTTTTGGGTGCTCGACATGTCCTAAAAAGATTGGGCTTTACTTGATGTTAGTGAGCTTGGGCTTGGGCTTGGGCTTGGGCCTGAGATTGATTTTAGGGCTCACCAACAATCTTAATCCCCTCGATAATTTTATTAAATTATCCTTATAATATATATCTAATTACAGAATTACCTTACATATATATACCTTATAAAAGGAAATTATATAAAAGAAATAAGAGTGGATTGTTATTTATATATTTGGTGAGTATTTAAAAATAAATTAATATTTAAAAATTTTTTTTTTAATTTAAAATTTTAAAAAAGAATTGAAATTTATTTTATTTCACAATAATTACTAAGATTACTATTTAAAAATTATTTCTAAAATTAAAATTATAAAAATGAGTCGAGACTGGACTGAGACTAGGATTACAGAAAGCCTATTGGGTCAGGCTTGGGATTTACTTGTCTTGCCCGTAACAGGCTTGGGCCTATGCCATAGAGGTCGGGCTGGGCCCTGGCAAAGGGGCCCCCAGTCCCAACCCAACCTATTGTCATTTCTAGGTCTACAACCTAATCTCATAACATTCTTTCATAACTCCCAACATGACATTTCTTAATTTGTTAGTTCGTAAATGGATAGACGAAACACATAACATATAAGTGAGACTCATTAACAATCTAACCAATTATAAGTTATCACGTGATATTGGGTTGGTGGTATAACACTACTCAAAAATTAAATACAAGTAGTCAATCATGCACTTATGAAAGCTTTGGTCAAAACACGAGCTCGAGGTTTCGCTATCCCTAGTCTCGACACGTGGTTTATCATAGGTGTTGTCTTAACACAACCTACCACTCTTCGAGTCTCTCAAATTATTATTGAGAAAATGATTGGTGTGAGTTGGATTTGCTCATTTGAGCTTTGCATTGTTAGTTAAACGTCTTCGTTCATATTTAAATATCTTAAAAGAAAGCATGAAAATTGAATGTTAAGTTGAACACAATTGCCATTCCGAATAAGTTTGGTCAAGATTCCAATTTTTTTGTTCGTTGTTTTTGGAACCCATGTCATGTCATCTCACTAATTTAATTGCAAGTCAATGGAGTTTGTTATATTGCTGACGAGGTTTTTGAAAGTTAGGTGTTGTAAAATCTTAATTAAGACAGCCTTGTCTCTTTCGATTTGGACATTATGACATACACAAATATCCAGCTCTTCAAGTCACAATTATTTTCGTAGTGAAACTAAACTACTCGATAATGTGACCGAAAATGATAGAGTCATCGAATATTGTGTATCGAATGATATGATAAAATCTTGATTTTTGATTAATAGTAACTGATAATAAATCAACGATTAAGATTTTATTACGTCATTCGGTGTACAGATTCGATACGCAACCTTTGATAACTATAACATTACTCATGTTACCGGATAAGTAACATAATGTGCCTACATATTTTATTTTATTTTAGAGTAAATTACTTTTTCTCATCCAATGTTTGCCTTAAAGACACTTTTTCACCCAAAAAGTTTCAAAATATCACTTTCTCAAAGTTAATATTACGTTACAATCCAAAACCGACTCTAGCCGATTCCAACAGCATAAATTCTCTCTATCACTACAACTTGAATATTCGGTCTCTTCTATAAAACTCCTCTAGCTTCGACACCTGATTTCTCCTCAATTACCGGTCATCGCAAAGCTAAGGTTTCTTTTTCTTAACTTATTTCTAATAGCAAAAAATTAATCGATCACCACCATTCAATCTATCGACTTTCACTCTACAAAAACTCTATTACCATGACTCCTGGTAACTCACTGAACGTCAGTTGAAAAAGTGAAGTATATTTTGAGTATTAATGAAATATAAACATTATGTAAGAAAGTGGTATTTTAAAATCTTTTGGGTGAAAAAGTATCATTAAGGCATACCGTAAATGGAAAAAAGTCGTTTACTCTTTATTTTATTATAAATTTACAAAAAGAAAGTGGGGTTTTTTATTTTTTAATTATCAAATTTTACATTAAGATAAAATAATATATATACTGGCAGAATCAAAGTAATTGTTATGAAAAAGTCAGAAGTCGTTGCACAAATAATTGAAGCTTTTAGGTAGTTGTGGTATTAATCCATTTTTGCAGATTCTGTTGTGGAAATTATTTGTTTTTTGGAAACAAAAATAGAAACCCCAAAGATATTTTCAGCTCTGACTTTTTTTATTCATATATTTACTCTTATAATATTAAACTAATTTTATCCAAAAAAGAAAGAATTTTATGAATGGGATGAATTGATATTATTTATTTTTATATGATGATTAAATAAAATAAAAAAGGAGACAAAATATATAAACAATAAAAAGACATTATAATTAAGCATAAAATCAATCTAAATAAGAAAATGAGAAGATTCTAATTATATTTTAAATGCATCATTTGTAAAAGGAAAATATTATTTTTGGAAAAAAAGTTTATATTTTTAAATGACTAAAATACCATCTTACCTTAACGGCCTCTCTTAATCTGGTCTGGAATAGTCTTTCTTTAGACACGTCTTAAATCTATCAGTCAACTTTATAGCAATCATTAAAATATAAGACAACCTGAAAAAGTTAAAAAGTATAATAACTTTCGGACCCCCCTGGGATTTCATATAAAATCTACCCCCTGAGATTTTTCAAATTACACAAATTATCCTACTTTTAGTGAACCATTAGTAGTCGTTAGAACTTATACTATCAAAAGTTAATAAATATTTATCAAATTATCCTCTTATTGTTGATTTTAAAACCAAAAATTTAACAGTCAGATAATTTTTGGATTTATTTGTTTGTGCTTTTTAATGTATTATTTTCGTTTTCTCTTGATAAATTTTTTTGAATTTGCGTTCGGTTATGTGTTTGTGAAATTGAATCCTGCCAAAAGGGAGAAAATGGGGCGCTGGAATCAGATGAGGCCCCTTTTTTCATAATAATAAAAAGAAAAACCAAGTTATTTCATTGTTCTTGATCTATTTTTTTCTTTTTCATAAATATAAAAAAAAATTATTTCAAACCAAAATTTTTAATGTAACATTATGCACAAAATCTAACGATTGATATATTTAAGACTAACTCTTCTATTCCAACAAAATAAATGGTAATTTAAAGTAGTTATATATGTTGTGGGGGTGATAAATTTTGTACTTTTTATTCTATTTTTTGTGTTTTAAAAAGAAATATGTCAGAACATATTTTTATTATTTACGATTTCAAATGTTGTTTTGATACGAAAATATGCACCAACCAACGAGATCCGATCGACCTTGTCGGCATTGGAACTGATTTGTGCGTGATTACGGGTAATCAGCGATGACTGAATGATAACGCCAAAAAGTAAATAATAAAGAGAACTTTTAAAGTGGTTCGACAAAGTTAGCAGCCTATGTCCACATTTTTTTTTTTTTTTTTTTGTATATGTCATGAGAGCTTACAATGTAGTTTTAATCAAGAATTCGTATCCCCCTCCTCATCGTTTTAGGGGGTTTATATACAAAAGTTACACCAAGGAAAGAGCGAAATTAAGGCGATTACAAATGATTTGAATCATAATTC